TAGTTTTTTTTTTCATAAGATCTTGGATAAAACATGTTTTTCTTAAACAAGGTTGATTTCATTCGCACTTATAGCTTCAACAGGAGCAAAAACCTTATTTTGTCAACCTCATAGCTCGTGTCTACCTTGAATGGTTTTAGACATTAGGGCTGATAATCTAAATCCTTGAGAAATAAGTTAAAGAGAAGTTGACCGGAAGTTCTATATCCCTACTCCGCATTCCGGAAGCAGGAAGTGTGACATAGGCCTATAATAATAGACTCGTATTATTATCGAAATTATTGAACAATAACTACCATAAACAATCATAAATGGCCTGGTACAAAATATGAAATGTCTTAATCAGACAAACAGATAAACATCATGTAAATAAATTAAGAAGTAAATAAAGAAAGAAAATATGAATACATTTAAGTAAATAATAAATAAAGAAATAAAAGAGGCTCAGTATAGCTTCTGCAGCACGAACACAAGCATGTCGTCCGCAGTTGTTGTTACGTGACGTAGTGTGTCTGACTGGTAGACACGGGGTTATGACATCATCGTTTACATAAGGTGTGTTCGAGTACATGCAGCTGTGCACAGGCCGATCGGTGGCTGACTTGAAACAGTGCATGCCGGTTAGACATGCAGCAATCCTTTTTGGTTGGTTTGTTCATTTGTTTTTAATCTATGTTCAGTTTAGAGAGTAACATCTCTCTAATTTCGGTTAATGCTAGGGTTTCAGAGACATGACAGAGAAAAAGTATTTTCTTATCTTGTAAAGGGAAGGAGTTAAGGAAACACATTCTAAGGTTGATGTTGTTATATTGTGGTCTAAACAATGGTGAGATGAAGCTTACTTTAGCCATGGCACTTCAAGGTCAGCAGGAGTCGCCATCCTCCTAAATAACTTCTATCGTCATCGTGTCCCATATGGCAGATGAGTTTGGTCACTGGCTGATTCTTATCATAAACATCGATGGCCTGAAATTCATCTTAGTCAACATTTATGATTATAACCTCAGCAGAGAAAACTGAAACCTACTTGAACAAATTTAAACAATCTCAAATGAACACACTCAACTGATAACATTATCATTGGAGGCAATCTAAACCTTGTTCATGATATTTTGATAAATATCCTTGCCGATACTCTGCAAGTCATCCAAACACCATATTCACAAAATTTTGCGGAAAACATAATTTGGTTGATACTTGGAGACACTTAAATCCAGTAATATTAGCTTTGATATTTCTGCTGCACCACTAACAGATCATAGTGTTATTTTACTACAGATCAAACCCAATGACAACAATGTCCACTCACACACATATTGGAAGTTCAATTGCAGTCTGCTCAAAAATAATGACTATTGCCAAAAAAAAATCTAATTATTAATTAAAGAAATTGCCAATTCTGAGGAGCTAACAACTGCTACCAGAAAGTGGAAATTCCTAAAATGTAAAATATGCCAATTTGCCATCTCATTCAGTAAAATAATTCAAAAAGATAGTGAAAAACAATAATTAGACATTATTAATCAGTTAATTATGTACTGCAATAGGTCAAACCCAACTGAAGACGATAGACAGAAGATATTAAACCTCCAACCTAAAGATTAAATTTACAGTCTTAACGGGCCTTCTTTAGATCCAGAGCTAAGTGGATAGAAGAGGGGGGAAAATCAGTGTATTTCTGTGGCCCAATTGAAAAAAAGAAGACAGGAAATTTTCTAACATGGACTGTCAATCTTTTTTTTTTCAGGATATAGCAAAACATATTCCCAAATTAGAGCATGGCCTCAAACAAACATGTGATTGGTCGCCTCTCTCTTAACAAAGCCCCCAAATCCGACGGTCTCACAGGTGAGTTTTTATAGACCATTTCACAAGATGTAAACAACACTGGTCCAGAAGCACTTCCTGTTTCAGTTTTTTTAACACTACATAAAAGCTGGGATAAAATACAACCAACAGAACATATAAAACTGAATCAAAAAGTTAAACAAACGTCTTTAAGATGTTTTCTTTACATGTGAAATAAAGAAAACAGTTACAAACTGAAACAGGAAGTGTTTCTGGACCAGTGTTGTTTACATCTTGTGAAATGGTCTATACCGAAAAATATTTGAATCGTGTCCTTCCACCAACAATGACACATGAGGTTATTGTCTCATTTCCAAAACCTGGGAAAGATCCCAGAATTATAGAGAACAGAAGACCCATTACACTCAGAAATTCAGACTAAAAACTCCTAAATTAGATCTTCACTTCTCGTCTTCAAGGGATTTCGGATCTTATTGCAGATACACAGTCAGCCGCTCTTAAAAGGAAGGTCAATCCATATTAATATAAGATTGGTAATGGACATCATTGAGTAAAGAAGAGGATGACGGTTTCCTTCTCTTTCTAGACTTCTATAAAACATTTGACTCCGCGGGGCATCCATTTTTTTTTCTTTTGGCGCTCAAACATTTTGGCTTTGGAGTCAAGTTTAGAGAACTGGTTGGTGGATTATATCGAGATATTAGTAGCTGTGTCCTATTGCCTAGTGGTACAACCCAAAGCTTCAAGATTAATGTGGGTATTCCTCAAGGTTGCCCCATCTCACCTGTTCATCTTAGCACAGAAATGTTGGAAATTTATATGGTATTAAAAAACTTAATGTGCTTGGCATAGACATAAGGCCCAGACGGAAGCAAGAGAAGCCACAAAAAAATTTAGTTTTGATGCTTCAAAACATTGAAACTAACCCACTGATGTCACATGGACTACTTTGATGATGTCTTTATTTCCTTTCTGGACAAGGACAGTTTACTGTTCATACATTTTCAATGGACGGACAGAAAGCTCTCGGACTAAATCTAAAAGTATCTTAAACTGTGTTCCGAAGATGAACAGAGGTCCACACGAGGGTCAGAGTCATTAATGACATCATTTTCATTTTTGGGTGTACTAACCCTTTAAAGAAAGTTTTATGTTTGTAGGTTAAGAGTGATAAAGTTTAGAGAAATTCACAAATGAAAATGAAATCTGGTGATGCAGAATTTAAAATTAAAACTATTGATGTAAAATATTCAACTGTATCTTGTAGTACACTCTAATACAATTTTGTAATTAAAATGTGTGTAGTTTTTTTTACAATTGCAATAAAAATGTCATTTATAGTTTGGACGCTGGAAGTAGAACTTCTGACTCAACTTCTAATGTTTTTTGTTGCCTTTTCAGTTATTTGTATTGTTTTCATTTCCTCTATTTGTAGACTTTGAGCTTAAGAAGCTGCATTTATTATGGCATATTTGCCTGATTTTATCCCTGACTAACAGTTTTGCAGCTTTCAGACTTTCCCTATTCAAAGATATGAGCCATACTTGCATGAATGGAATTTTAGAGCGTAACCAAGATGGTCACCAAGTGAAGTAATGTAAAATGTCTTTTGTTCTCCCCGTGTAATATTGTAACTTTATATGGTTGTGACAATGAAGACACTTTGATGATTGATGCTTGCCACGTGATACTTTATTGAAAGAAGTCACAAAAGCATTCAATAACTGAACTCACTTTTTCTAATTATGTTGTCGATCCATTCGCGATATTGTGAAATCTTAATATACACATTCGGATATTTAGGTGAATTGCACATTTCCGCATTTCCAAACGATGTGACACCAACTGCAGTGTTTCCATAAACCAAAGGACCTCCTGAATCAAACTGTGAAGAAACAGATCAACACGTCAATTAAATACATACCGGATCAGTACACAACATAACATAATCAAAGTGTGTGAATCTTTTTATTTTTATTTTGTACGTACAAGGCAGGATCCACCACGGCCATGTGTGCACATCATCTGTGAGAGTGAGTAGATCTCTCCCCATTTATAGCTACATTCTAAGTTATTCATTATGTACAAATTTGCCTCCATTAGAAGATCACTCGTTGGGCCATTAGTCTTCAGTCTTCCCCAGCCGGCAACACTACAGACAGAATTTGTTCCCATTTCCTCTCCATCCATTGGTAAATCAATCCATTTGACATTGTTGTTTGCTTTAACTTTTTCCTGTAGCTGTAATTCAAAAACACAACCATTATTAATAAAAGATATAGTCATCTTTGTGCAGTTGTTTTTACACTGTAAAAAAAAAATATTTTCAAGATTTGTTATCACAACATTTTTTCTTTTGTCAAATCAACTTAAATAATTTATTTAGTTCAGATAACTTATTATTTTGAGTTTCTGATGATTAAATCAATCTCCTTCATTGTATTAACTCACTTTTTCCAGTTCGATCAACTTGAAATTTTAAGGCAACCAGGTTACTTACTTTTTTAAGTTGAACCAACAATACAGTATTTTTTGTTAGTACAAAAGCCCTGAAGACCCAGGTTTTTTTTTTTTTTTTTATTGACGGTATATAGAAATTTTACAAAATACACGTCACCAACACGTTTTTGTTAAGCGCCTCTTAAAGTGCACCTATTGTGCTTTTTATAAATATTAACTTTCATGCAATGTTCATGAATATAAAAGGTGTGCAACGTCAATTCTGACGTCAAAAGAATCAATTCTGAACTGCCGAAATAAAAAAAAATTAAAAAAGAAAGACACTCAAGGAGTCACTTGGCCTTTTTCTGTACATTAGAAATTAATTGAATGCCTTCCCTTACGAAAACAAGTACATTTCAAGTTCATTTTATGTAGTATACTTAAGTAATGTTCAAGTATATTTTTAAGTATACATTATGTAGTAAGTATACTAATGTCACTATGTACTAGTAGTAAACTTGTAAGTGTACTATTTTAATACCGCTTGGGACTAAATTGGCCCACTTTTAGTACATAAAAGTGTATGTTTAAGTGTACTATAAGTGTAACAGTAAGTGCACAACTAGTTCATAATTATGTATCTCATGTGTACTGCAAGTGAATTTATGGGTATAGTAGTAGTTTACTTTTTTACTGTAGTACTTATACAAGTATACTTTGAATACTTAATTATACTTTTATGTATTTCTGGATCAAAAGATTGAGTACAAGAACAGGACAAATATACTTGCTTTTCTCTCAGTATAAGTCAAGTACACTTAAGTGTAATTTGAAGTATATTTCTGAGAAGTACATATAGTATACTTCTGAGAAGTACAGGAAAAATAAACTGAAAGTATACTTTCTTATTTTTAGTTTAAAAGAAGTATACTAATGGCACACTTGAATAAACTTCTTTTTCATAAGGGTTACTGCAATCTTACAGTCTCACATTGCAATAGAAATGAGTTCGTTTTGTGCCACTGTTTCCTGATCAGATTCTAATTGAACAAATAAAAGTATTACAGTTTGTTACCCTCATAAGCATGATGTCATTCTGATTACGACGGTCTATATAGTCTGGGTGTGGGATGTAAGACTTCACGTCGAAGCGATCTGAATTCTCGATGTTCCTTAAGTCATGAGCACCAATAACAACCGTCAGAACCTCTATTCTGTTGAAAGAGGAAGTCATGATAATCATTTATGTCATACAGTACACTGTATGGTTGCCCTGTAGTTGTGTCATTCAAAAGTGATTTCTTAAAGGGATACTCCACTTTTTTTGGAAATAGGCTCATTTTACCACTTACCCAGAGTTAAACAGTTGGGTTTTACCGTTTTCGAATGTATTCATTTTTTTTTTTTTTTTTTTTTTTGATATTTAGAAGAATATCAGTAACCAGACAGTCTCAATGACTTCCATAGCATATTTTTTTCCTACTATGGAAGTCAATGAGACCAGAAACTGTCTGGTTACAGATGTTCTTCTAAATATCAGAAAATCGGCTGAATGGATTAGAAAATGGTTAAACTCAACTGTTTAACTCTGGGGGAGTTGTGAAATGAGCATATTCCCCCCCAAAAAAAGTGGAGTATCCCTTTAACACTTACCGGTTCCAGCAGTGTGCAGCAGTCAGGACAAACTGATTAGAAATGAGGAATCCACCGCAGATATGTTGTCTGTTCTTCTGAATAGAAACCATGTAAGGTCTGGAGTGGGGTTTAGCTTCTGTGCCGTTCACTATACCCACATTCACATGAGCTGACAGAGAGAGATGGTTCTGTCAGTAAACTTATTCAGACCATACAAATCAAACATTCTTAAAAATCAACATAATTTCCTGTTATATAATCATTCTCACCAGTGAAGGTCAGGTGTGGCAGCAGAGAGGCCAGCAGGAGCGCAGAGATGCTGATGATGATGGTCATGATGAAGTTGACATTGAGTTCTCATGGTAAAACACTGTATAAATATACTCTAAAAGTGGGTGGGTGGAGTTTTTTCTTCTTGCAGTATGAGCAACACAGTGATAAAAAGATACTGTTCTTCCGGTCTTGCATGAAGATTAAAGATGGTTTAGATGATAAGAATTCAGAACGCAAAGCATGATGTACAGTTTGTAACCCTTAAAAGCACAATGTCATTCCAAAAAGGCCAATATCTATAGTTTTGATGCAGGGTATAACAAGGACGATCCTTTCAATTAGTTATGTCATGATCAGCACACACAAATACAACTCACCTTATTCAATGGCTTCTTAAAATACTTGATTCTGATTGGCTGACCCATTCTAAACTGTTGTTTTTTATTTTAAACGGCATCATTTAAATAATTCCAGGTGAGTTTTTACCACATAAAATTTCCATGTCAATTCGCCAAATTATTATTATTCACAAGAGCTTTGCTACCTATCACAGCAGAATCAGAAAACGTCACTCAGGGGCTACGTATATGCTCGCGGATGCAACTTTATTTCACTCTAATGGTAAAACACTGCAAGACAATTACTATTTAAATAAACACAATTTTAGACATCGGGTAGAAAACGCATATCTTGAATCATTACTACACTCTCAGAAAAAAAGGTACAAAAGCTGTCACAATGTACCTTTTCAAAAGACATTTTTAAGTAAATTGTAGGTGCTAATATGTACATTTTAAGTGTTAATATGTACATTTTATAGGCTAATATGTAAATTTTAGGTGCTCATATGTCCATTTCAGGAGCAAATATGTCCAATTTAGGTCCTAAAGTACTTTTAGGTGCAGGTGTTAACGTCATTTTAGGTGTTAATATGTACATTTTAGGTGCTGATATCATATGTACATTTTAAGTGTTAATATGTAGGCCTACATTTTAGTTTCTAATATCATATGTACATTTTAAGTGTTAATATGTCCATTTTAGGTGCTAACATGTCCATTTTAGGAGCTAATATGTCAATTTTAGGTCCTTATGTACATTTCAGGTGCTAATAGCCTATGTACATTCTAGGTGCTTATATACATTTTACGTGCTAATATGTACGTTTTAGGTGCTAATATGTAAATTTCAGGTACGAATATGTACATTTTAGATGCTTATATGTCCATTTCAGGAGCTAATACATTTTAGGTTCTAATATGTACGTTTGAGGTGCTAATATGTCGATTTCAGGAGCTAATATGTACATTTTAGGTGCTGATTTATGCATTTCAGGTGCTAATATGTACATTTTATCGGCTAATATGTAAATTTTAGGTGCTCATATGTCCATTTCAGGAGCAAATATGTCCTATTTAGGTCCTAAAATACATTTTAGGTGCAGGTGTTAACGTCATTTTAGGTGTTAATATGTACATTTTAGGTGCTAATATGTCCATTTCAGGAGCTAATATGTACATTTTAGGTGCTTATATGTACATTTTAGGTGCTAATTTATGCATTTCAGGTGCTAATATGTACATTTTAGGTGCTTTTATGTACATTTTAAGTGCTAATATGTACGTTTTAGGTGCTAATATGTACATAGGTGCTAATATGCACGTTTTAGGTGCTAACATGTACATTTCTGGTGCTAATATGTACATTTTAGGTGCTAATATGTACATTTAATGTGCTAATATGTACATTCCATGTGCTAATATGTACATTTCATGTGCTAATATGTACATTTTAAGTGTTAATATGTTCATTTTAGGAGCTAATATGTCAATTTTAGGTCCTAATATGTACATTTTAGGTGTTAATATGTACATTTTAAGTGTTGATAATATGTACATTTTAGGTGCTAATATACCACTTATGCTAATGTACAACTAAGGTATACTAATTTGGGTAAAAAAGTGGTGTACCACTAAGGTACCAATATGCAGCCTTTGGGTACAAAAGTGTACCAGCCCCTGACAGCTTTTGTACCTTCTGTATTTAACCAGTAAAACGTAATAAAAATAGCTTTTTTTATAAACCTTGTATCTCCATTGGATCCTCAAACTCTTGGACAAACCTCATAACTCCACCAAAGGATCATCTGCTTTTCTGCAATGCGAAGGTAAATAAGTAACTGGATGTTTGAATAAGCACACCGTTTCTTTACTCAAGAAACTCTCTCTATAAAGGCTAATGTTTTGTGTATTTTAGGAGTGGAGAAGACTGTCTCAGTCTAGCATTTGTCGTCGAGAACTTTCTTAAATAGCATGTCTGTGTGGTTCATCCTAAGTTGACGAAAACGTAATGTGATAGACTTTGCGGCCTTTGACATTCACTGGTCAACTCCATTTTAGATTGATTTTGGTAGAATGTTAATTATATAATGATGACACATGCAAGTGTCTGACCATATATAAAGCCAAAATATCAATATCAACAGCACATTGTTTAATTATTTAAATATATCATAATATATTTGGTAAATAGGTCTACATCCCTGCACTGATCAAGCAAATAAACATGACAAACGACAGGATAAAAATGTCAAACTATTAACAGGTTTTTTTTTTTTTAAACAATTATCTTTTATTATCACTATATCACAATCTCTTTATCATGCTCTTTCACACCCACATGTACACACAGACTACATAACCGAAAGTTATCAGCACTGCCTGCAATATTTTATCAATTAAAGTAAGTTTCACTATTGTAAAATACATGCCATTTCTCAGTAGCAAAGCGATAACGTCTCTGTCAGAGACTGCTACCGAACAAGCCACACAAATTCAGGAAATTCACACACACGCACGCACGCACACTCACTCAATCACTCACTCTCTCTAACTATTGCATGTCAATAGCTCTTGTCTCCATTGATAATTCTTAAATGATGCAAGATTGGGACAGAATGCATAAGAAGTTTAGGTATACTTTATTTTAAATTGACAAATCTGAAGAAAAAAAAATGGAGCTAAAGAATCTCACTTTATTATACCATAGTTATTCCCATTTTGGAGATTTCAAAATGAGGTACTTGCTAATGTGAAATGACTTATATTACCATATTTTAATTTAATCCTCTAGCTGTTCGTTATTGGGTTCATTCCCAGACAGCAACCTCTCGACCCACATTTGGACCGTGTGGAATCCATGTGCAGATGTGGACCGGATCTGGGCCCACACTATGCTGCTGCCTGAGCCCATGTATTGTTTCTGACCATCATGAAAATGCCTCCAAACGTCACATAGATCATTCACATTTATCATCTTTGAGAGACGTTCACTTGAAGGCATATGGGGCTCAACGTGATTTCTATCAATATTATCATCAGTACAATTAAAATCTCACAAAACCAAATGTTCTTCAGTACTGCATCTTTGAAACATATGCATCTAAAAACACCAATCTTTCTAATGCTGTTGTTGGCGCATTTTTAAAGTCTTCCTTTCACAATCTCATCAACTTGATAAAACTGGACTAAGGCTACGTTCACACTGCAGGCTGAAAATACCTAATTCCGATTTTTTTGCCCCTATACCACCTGTATCTGTTCTTTTCATGACAGTCTGAACGACACAGATCCGATCTTTTCAAATGCGACCCAGGCCACTTGGGTATGTGGTCCAAATCCGATATGTATCCGATCTTTTGAAATGCGTTTTCAATCTGAACGGCCGCACGTCATTGCACGCACCTGTAGCTAGCCAATAGACCAAGATGTAAACAACCAGCCCGCTCTCATGAAAGTTCGTATCTATGGCACGAATGTCATTTCTCGTGGCATTTATACGCCAAAAACAGTTTTTGCGTGTATTTGGCACGCGATTTTCGCGTACCAATGATACGCACTTTTTTGCGTATAATACGCACGAACTCCCCACCCCCTCCCCCCTAAACCTAACCCAGGGTTTTTTAGTGCGTACCATATACACGAAAAAACACTTTTGGCGTATAAATGCCACAAGAAATGACACTCGTGGTATAGATACGCATCTTCATGAGACTGTGTTGAAACAACACTGGTCCAGAAGCACTTCCTGTTTCAGTTTTTTTAACACTACATAAAAGCTGGGATAAAATACAACCAACAGAACATTTAATACTGAATCAAAAAGTTAAACAAACATCTTTAAGATGTTTTCTTTACATGTGAAATAAAGAAAACAGTTACAAACTGAAACAGGAAGTGTTTCTGGACCAGTGTTGTTTACATCTTGTGAAATGGTCTATACACTCCAACTCCAACGCGTTTGTGCACTGTTATGGGCCGCCGCAGACGTGTCTCTTCCCGTGACGGAGTTGATCGAAGGCGCTCACAAACATAATCGAAGGTGGATCTGGTCATTCGGAAGTTACTGATGAATTCTGTATCGGTAGTGAAGCCACTCACATCAGTATCCCACCACTCCTGGCTGCGACTCCGCACCCACATGTTTCTCGTTTCCACACAGCTTCATCAGAGTGTTACGAAACTTGGTGACTTTTATGACATTAAGTATGTGAACACACAAAAAAATTGAGGTCATGATCTGAGCATGCTAAGTGGTCCTAAAAAAATAGTTACGATTTTGGTATTTGGTCAAAAATGACCCCCATAGGAAATGAATGGGAAATTGACAAAAACACAAAAATTCACAATTTTTTATTTATTTTTTTAAAAAAAAATTTAAAATAAGAAATAGTTTTTGAGATTGTTTCAACTATATATCCAAATCCACCAAAAAAAAAAAAAAAATGTGTTCATAAACAGCTGGGGAATTCACATGCCTTTCCATAGAGAGCTGTACATGCCATCTAGTGGTTACACCATGGTCCTACGTTTTTATCTATACTGTAACCAGATGGTGCTAATTTTCTTCAAAAAATATTTTTTCTGAAGGCCCAGACTCTATATTAAACAAAAATACTGCATTAATAATTTTCTTTTTAAATAATATATATATTTCCATTGAAAAAATTAGAAAAGTTAATTCTAAATTAAAAAGAATAAATATTATAGAACAAAAATAAATTGCATTGGTTTTACTGGGA